AAAAAAGCCGGAAGTGGCACTGTGGCTCAAGTGGTAGAGCACTAGCCTTGAGCTGAAGAGCTGAGGGACAGCGCCCAGGCCCAGAGTTCAGGCCCCATAACCAAAAATAAATAAATAAATAAATGAAAAACAGACGAGTCTAATAATGTGTCATTACAGATGAGTATTAGATCATATATATTAACATAATTTTAATTGGTATTATTTTAACAGCTTTTTGTTCCTGAGCCTCGCCCAATTCCTAAAAATGATGTTGGATTTAAATACTCTGTGAAACATCGGCCATTTCCTGAAGAGGTGGACAAGATTCCTTTTGTGAAGGCAGATCTCAGCATTCCAGATTTGCATGAGATTGTCACTGAAGAAGTAAGATAAATTAGTTTCTGTTAAATGGATGCATGTAAATATCCTTAAATGATGTCTGTGTTTAAAGCATTGACTTCAGTGTTATGGGCAGTAACTCATAAGATAAGGAGGGTTCCAAGTAGCAGGACAAATGTAGATTTTGGCTAATAGGAAGTGGAATCATTGATTGCCTGGGCTCTTCCATGATAGGTTTCAGGAGTGTGGCAACATGATAAGACTGTGGAAATAGAGGATATTTGGATAGTGTAGGAAGGGGGTTAGGATTTGAAAGGGAATTACAGCCCTTGAAAGTCATATCTGAAGTCATGTCTGAGTGGGGAAATCAAGAGAGTAAGGGACAAAGAGGGGGGTGGTTAGAAATGTGATCAAAGGACATAGAATATATGTGTTTTATGTACAGGAATATACACATGGGGAGGAGGTAGGTAAAACGAGAATCTGATCAACATAGTATGCCTCATCTATGGATGATGAAAAACTCTTTATACAATTAATGTATGCTAATAAATAATTTTTTTAAAATTATGCTTATAACTGGGTGCTGCTGCTGTACCTGTAATCCTAGCTACTCATGACACTGAAATCTGAGAATCACAGTTCAAAGCCAGCCTGGGCAGGAAAGTCCATGAAACTGTTATGTCCAATTATGCACCAAAACAGCTGGAAGTAGAGATACAGCTCAAGGTGGAGTACTAACCTTAAGCAACAAAGCTCAAGGACAGCACCCAGGCCCTGAGTTCAAGCCCCAGGACCAGCTCCCCCCCCAAACAAACAAACAAACAAACAAGAATTTATCAGAAGGGAATAAGGGGCCTCAAAAATAGTCAAGGAATTCATGTGGATGCTGTAGGGTGAAGATGTGGCAGTGGTCTGACTGTTGGGAGGGAGAAGAGCTCTGCCTTTTTTCCTGCCTATCTGAAGGGGAGCAGAGGCAGAATGATGTCCTTTATAGCCAGATGATGAGAACAATTGATGAAGTTCGGGAATTTTTCAGCATGGTTTTAACCTTAGAACATGTTTGCTTAATTATATGAATGAATCATATATTGAAGTGAAACACAATGTTGAAAATTATCCTCTTTGTTGCTTTATTTTTGTTTTAAAATTAAAAGTAACTCTAGTAATTTTTAAATAGTTTCTCCAAATGTAATGCTTCATTCATTTCAGTTAGAAGAGAAACATGAGAAATTGAGAAGTGGCATGGCCCAGCAGATAGCTTATGAGATACACCTTGAACAGCAAAGTGAGGGGGAATTGCAGAAGAGAACTTTCCCTGACCCTGTTACGGATTGCAAGCCCCCACCTCCTGCCCAGGAATTCCAAACAGCCCGTCTTTTCCTCTCACACTTTGGATTTTTGTCCTTAGAGGCATTGAAGGTAATTCTTGTGAACTTTTATGAGTAAAATATTCATAATCATAATATATTCATAAGTTTAAATTCAGCTAATTTTTTTGGGGGGGGTCCAGTCGTGGGGTCTGAACTCTGGGCCTGGGCGCTGTCCATCAGCTCTTTAGCTCAAGGCTAGTCATGATTTGGAAGTATAGGTAGCAAACTGAAGTTT